TGCCTCTGGAGCGTTCCCGACGATGCATATTTCTGATTACGCATGTGCGTGCTGCCCACGTGCTACGTCTTTCCATCGCAAGCTGCCGAGTGTAATCTCAGTCAAAGTGGCGGCTAGGTCGGCTAGGTCACGGCCCCTGATTACAAGGGCTCTCTGTGAATCTCTGGTTGCCCAGGACACATTGCGATAACCATTTGGATGCGATTGCATCACGGCGGCGCGCCCATCGCTGCGCAGACGGCCCAAGTTCAGACCAATGTTGTTCTGTTTTTTTATCAAAAAACATCGCGAACGTGGTTTAGCCCATGCCAGCTCCACGCGCACTGGCGACCATATTGGGTTGCATCGAAGTGTTGTCGTTGCGCGTATTGGAACGCACTGTGATGCAATGTTGCCAAAGCTGTGTTGGGTGCAAATATGACGCATTGGATATACACCGTGCAATTGACTTGTTCGGCTCGAAATCTGTTGAGCGAGACTCGTGCCGTGGATCGTCCATGCTCATATTTACTTGCTGTTGGCGCAGCGTGTCGCGTTTCGCCTTGGCCTCGCCCCCGTCGCATGTGAACGTAAATTGCACGGGGGCGCTCGATTCGGAAGTCGAAGTCGGAGCGGAGCACGGCCGCCGCAAGGTCCTGGGGCACCTGAGGGCGGCGGGGGCCCTCATGGCGCGCCCCCCGCGGGCAGGGGGTTCTTTGGGCGGGGGCAGCAGCAGTCGCGCGTCAAAGCTGACTTCGTCTTTGAAGGCAGCGGAGCCTATCCCGGCAGCGTTTCGCGGGCCGCCCGCTCGTGGAAGCGCGAGCCCGGCCGATGGCGCGCCCGACGGCTATGGCCCTGAGCTCTCGCCTGAAGGTCGGGCTGGTGAACGTGACGGCACGGACCTCCCCGTCAAGTCTGATCATGCATTTGATGGCGACAGCGGCGCAGGCAGCTTCAAGGACATGGAAGACACGACCGGGGCGCCTATTCTGGGGCATTGCGCCGAGGCCGCATCGACAATAGTTGACCTGGACAGCGTGGACTTCCAGATGTGCTCGCCCTTCCGGAGCCCTGCCGCCGAGCGCGCCAAGGCGGGCCCCTTCGTCGAGCGTGACTCCACCCTTCCAGAGCGAACAGATTCGCCAGCGGTCAGCGCGGCCTCCGATAGCGTCGATCAGCGCCCCACAGCGCACGCATATCCTCCAAGCCCCAGCGACAATTGGAAGCTTATGCCGCCCCCGCGCGAGGGGGCTGAGACTGGGGGTCCCGCGGCGGACCGTGAGAAGCCCATGCGCGAGCAGCCAGTTCGCAAATCCCCTGCTGGAGGAAGAAGAGCACCGATCTTCCGATTGGCGAGGAGCCCCAGAACCCGTTCATGGATCAACAGCTTGTGACCGCGTCTTCCTTGCTGCAGCAATTCCACGAGATCACCCCAGAGTTTGCCGATCAGAGCCAGCAGTCGCAGCAGTAGAGCATGATGCGGGGTGGACGGGGGGGTATGATGAGGGGGGGGTGTGGGGAGGGCGAGCAGGAGGAAGATGATGAATGCGCTATGCTGAGCGAGCTGGGCCAACGAGGTCCCGGCGCCATGCTCGTAGATCGTTTGGATGCCCATGCAAATTGGGAGATGCGAAACAATCAGGGGCCCAATAGTCGGCGCGCTCGAAATGCAGGCCGTGTCCAGGACCCTATTGTTGCCCTCGTTATCCTCTCTCCGACTCCTCGCCTTCCATGTGCGCATCCCATGGCAGTTCTTTCGATCAGCTTTAGTCTTTCAACTACCCTCGCATTCTCGTCGTCCTCGCTCCCTCCGCCTTGGCCCCCTCTTCTTGTTCCCTTTATTATGTCCCCTGCCCCTTGCAGCTGCCTTATCCCCTACCCCCCCTTCACTCTCCGCCTCGCCCCTCGCCCCCTCCCCCTGCCCCTCGCCATCCCCATTCGAGATGCCCGCTCGCTTCAGGGCCGCACTGCGACGCAGGCATTGTTGATTACTTTGCGAGGTCCCCGAATTTAGGGCATGCGACCTTGCTCGGAGCAGTTAGATGCAAACCTACATTGCACACTGCGTTTTTTTGCGTTGGGGCACCGTGAGTAGGACACTTAAAGTAATGCGGCGTGACGGGGGATCGATGTTAGGGCGCGCGTTATGGACGCGGACTATGGGCTACAGGTTATGGCGCACGCTTGGACTAGGGCTCCAGCTTAGATTTAGATTGGGTCTCCAGGGTCGGGGGCCATATTCGGATAGCTCGGCTAGAGCACTCGGGGCAGGGCAGTTGGATTGAGGCACCTACACTCGGCAACCTGGCCGCGGTACATCGATGCGCAAGCGCAAAGCTGCCCGAAGCAACTGCGGTTTAAGACGCCTCGGGCCACAATGTTCGTGAATGTCTCAGGCGAGAGCGTCACTGTGAAAAAAGGCATTGCCCTGCGCGCGTGCAATAGTTGCAAGTTGGGCGACGTGGGCCGTTCGTCTCGCGAGCGTCTACGGCTTGAGCGCCGATTCATTTTTTCGAATGGGGGGGGGTCACGCGCACTACAGCAGTTCCAGGTCGAGTGATGCAAGCGATTGTGCGATTCGCAGCGGTGCCAGCCCAGTGCCCCCCCCCCCCCCCTTCCTCTGGCACAATGGCGAAGCGCGCCGAGGGCAAGCCGCCGCCCGCGAGGGGCCCGCGGGGCTCCTCGGCTGGCGCCGCGGGCCCTGCCGCGCCCAGTCCCGCCGCTTCCGCTGGCGGCGCCTCGCCCGCGAAGCGTCGGGGGCGCGCGCGCTGCTGCTTCCCGCGCGCCGAGACTTCCAAGGGCGCCCGGCGCGCTCCGAATAGCCGCGCGACCCCCGCCGCCCTGCCCCCGCCCCGCGGGGCGGGGGCTCGGGGCGAGGAGGAGGAATGGAATGGGGTGGAGTAGAAGGAGGAGGGCGAGGGTGGAGGAGAGGGGGGAGGAGCAAGAGGGGGAGGGGGAGGCAGGGGTTGTTCGAGGAACACCGAGGGGGGAGGATGAGACGCCTTCCCGAGGAGAAGCCGATGGCAGCTCGCGAGGACGTGGGTCTGGAGAAGAACGAGTGGGACGTGGACACCTGCGCCGACTGCGTCGGCTGGGTCAGGGCCCATGCGCCAGCCGCGTCGGTCAGCGAGTTGGCGGGTGGGCTCGCGACCGGCAAGGGGCTGTGCAAGGACATCGCGGACATCAATGACAAGAAGGCCCACTTCGCTGGTCAGGATGTCACGGTGACGGACGACATGAGCGTCCAAGTGGAGGTGCGCGACGACTGCGAGCTGCTTCGGCGCCAGGACTTCGTCGATCTTTGCGGCAAGACGCCGAAGCAGGCTGGCGCCCGGCCCGTCGACGTCCCGACCGCGGACAACATCTCGCAGAGCACGACCTCCTACCTGAACCCCTTGAACGCCAGGAAGCGCATGGAGGTGATCAGCATGTTCGGCGTTAGAGTATCTGAGATGAAAATGAGACCCAATATGCATTGCTTCAACAAGCAACCTAGCCCCCTCATGAAGTACGCCGCGAAGAACATCTTCAAGAGGCACGCCGTCGCCCTTCTTGGTCGTGGGAAGCGCTTCTGGGGCAGCGGCGCCCAGGTGGCCGCCGAGCACGCCGCCGCGGGCGCCGGGCTAGCCAGGTCGGGTTCGTTCGCGGTTGCCGAGGCGGGCAGCGCCGAGAAGGGTGCTTCCAAGGGCGATGGCGAGTCATTCATGCAGGAGTCGGACGACGAAGTCGATCAACCCGATGGCGACGATGACCCCGGGCGCGCGGGCGGGGCGCTTTCAATGGCCGCGCCTGTGACGGGCGTCGCGCCTGCGAAGGGCGCTCGCTCGCCCCCGAGCGCCGTCGTTTTTGCGGGGGGCCAGGTCCAGGCCGAGGGCCCGGCGCCGTGGAACAAGTACTTCGCGGGCGAGTGCCCTGCAAATGGGACTGCCGAATTTTGGATCTGGAAGACCCTTGGAAAGGGCCCCCCGCTGGTCTCAGGGAGAAGCACCTCGTCAGCCAGATGAACATCCTCTTGCCGAAGCTCGACGCGCACTCGGCGAGGAAGCTACGCCTCCACAAGACTGCCATGCAGCAGTGCCGGGAGATCGTGGACGGCTCGGCCCAGGCAGTGCCTTGCAACGAGTTCGCAGAACAAGTGAAGGCCTTGGTTCCCTCGGTCGGGGAATGGCCGCAAGAACATCACCGCGTGCTACTGGAGTGCAACCTGAACCACCACATGGCGGAGTCCGCGAGGACGGGCGGGGAGGTCCACGCCGAGAAAGCTTTGGAAGTCGCAAAATTGTTCACGGTCGGCGAGGGGAAGGAGGAGAGTTTCAACCCCCTGAAGCCCATGCTGGCCCAGAGTTCCCTGTCGGATTCCGAGCGGGCGGATTTCTTCGTGAACGAGGTGTTCGGCAAGAAGGTCGCCGAGTGGATCGAGGACGGGGTAAACGGGGGCCCCCTTATTTCGACGTTTGCTCAGGTGGCCATCAAGGCGATGAAGATCTCAGAGGGCGGCAACGTCGGTGAGAAGGCATGCTACGCGCTGCGGGCGGCAACTCGTGCGCTGCAGGTGCTCTTGCATCTAAGTCACCCCTCGTTGATGGACGGCGCGCCCCTCGAGGTTTACAACGACGCGGGCACGAGCTTGGAGGCGTCCGCGAAGACTGTCGCGGCCTCGTCTGCGTGGCAGACCGTCGGGCTTGCGCGCGTCACCAGCCCGAGGTGGAATGCTGGGCAATGGAAGAGGTTGGGCCGATAATTCAAGTAACCATCGACAGCCTCTTCAGCATCGTGGAGCCCACGGCTGCTAACGCCAAGAAGATCGGTGCCATCGTCGAGGCCATCCCGCATTGCCATGCCAAAGGCGTGAAAGACCTCGCCGGGAAATTGGAGTTCAAAGTCAACGAGAAGGCGTGCGAGCTCATTTCCGCGGCCGCCAAGGCCGCTGCTGGCCTCGGCGAGTCAGGCAACGGCTCCGACCCGAGCAGCCTCGGCATTGAGGACTTGAACGCGTCCGTCACTCTCGCGAGGAAGATCACCCAGAACTGCGTGGAAACGGAGGCCTTCATTCTCGCGAACAACGCCCTGCAGCTGATCAAGGAGAGTCTCCAGACATCGCCCGTGCGAAGAGCTTGAACAATGCTCTGCATCAGTTCCACTTCGAAGATGGCCAGTCAGTTGCAAACTTGCTGGGTGCGTTCGACGGCGTCGTCGCAGCGGCGCTCCAGGATGAGGTTCGCGCGAGGGTCAAGGAAGTGGTCGATTCGGTGATCGAGTCACCTCGCGCCGCCGATGCCACGAACACGGCCAACCTCACTCAGGTGGTTTCGTTCGTCTCCGCGATGGTGCCTTTTGTCCCAGTCGACCACGAGATGACCTACCAGAACATCAACTCCGCGCTGAAGCTGTGCAAGGGCGTCAGTGCAAGTCTCGCTGCTTTGGGGGGCGTCGAGATGACCGTGACCTGCTACGCTGGCATGGATGCGCAGAGGCTCCTGAGCGAACTCCAGCGGGGGCACCTGCGCCTGAAGAGTGGCACGAACGCGCTCGACAAGGCCCCGAAGGTCCTTGAGGCGCGCGAGCTCATGTCGCAGGAGGCCGCCGAGAAGAGCGCCAAGGTCGCGAGCGACATCGAGACCGCGACCGCAGACCATATCCATAGCATCACGAAGAAGGTCGCCTTCGCCAAGGAGAACGACTCCTCCATCAGGATGGCGAGCATGCTGAGGGATGCCGAGTCCGTGGCCGACGTCAAGAAGCAGACGCCCAAGGAGTTCCTCGAGGTCGACGCCGACTTAATCGCGACGGCCGCCGTCACGATGAAGAAGCGCGTGGGCGAGCGCGGCTCGTTTCTTCAGAGCTCCGAGCTCGGCGCCAACGAGTTCGCAGGCGATGTGGGTATCCCCTGCGACGGGGCGTTCGCCATGGTTGGCGTTCAGAAGATTCCGAGGCCGCTCATGTGCGAGTCTGTGGCTAAGGACCCAAACTGATGTTCGAGATGAAGGCGGTGCAGTCGTTCCTTCGCGAGCGCAGGGTGAACGTTGAAGAGGTGCACGCGGGCCTGGCCGTTGCGCGCGCGCAGGCGCGGACGGCCTCGCGAACCAGTCGCGGTGCGAGGCGCGGTCCATAGGGGGAGGATTGTGATAGGAGCGAGAGGAGGGGTAGAAGGGGGAGGTGGGCTCTCAGAGTCGCAGCTTGCCAGCTGCCGACAGACGGCATTTTTCCTTACCTAGGCTCCCCCTAAAAGGGTTCTTAATCGGTATGCTTAAAGAGCCGTGGCAGTGTGCCACGCCCTGGGCGGCCCCCCTGGCATCCGCCCCGCGGTTGCCCCAGTTGCGCCCCCTGGGTTCACCCAGCTTATCTTAGCTTAGCTTAGCTCAGCATTGCCTAGCTTAACTTAGCTTATCTCATCTTAGCTTAGCTTAGCTTAGCTTACCCTAGCCTAATTTAGCTTAGCTTAGCTTAGCTTAGCTTGACTTAGCTTAGCATGGCTTAGTTTATCTTAGTTTAGCTTAGCTGAGCGCAGCGTAGCGAAGCGCAGCACTAGCACACTATACCATCGCATAGCACAGCCAAGCATAGCACATCACAGCATCGCTCAGCATAGCTTAGCATAGCGTAGCATAACATAGCGCAGCTTAGCATACCACCACCTATAATACCATTGCTTAGCATAGCACAGCGCAGCATAGCACCGCCTGGTGTAGATGTAGGTGGAGGTGTAGTTATGGATGTGGGTGTAGATGTAGATGTAGATGTAGATGAATGTGTAAATGTAGATGTAGATGTGCGTCTCGCGGTTGATGTTGATGTAGATGTACATGCGGGTGTAGATGTACATGTAGCTGCCGGTGTAGATGTAGATGTTGCTTCCCTAAATGCTCCAACTCCTAGGCGGGGTCGCACTGGGATAAGTTCGTGGGCGCGCGGCAACGGAGGCCGCGGTCGAACGGTAGTTTGATGGAGGGGGAGGCAGAGTAAGATCATGAAGAACATGGGAGGAGGGACGTAGAGGATGGAGCAGGGCGCGGAGGCGACGAGAAAGAGGACGGGGGGGGGAGGGCGGGGGGGGGGGGCATGGGAGGAGAGAAGAGGTGCAGTGGCGGAATTGGTTGGAATTCCCACCCCCTCCCTCCCATCCCCCCCCGCCTCTCCTCCACGGGCCCCCTTCCTCCCTCGTCGTTCCTCTTGCTATCCACCGCGCGCCCTTCCATTGCGACCCATGCTGGCCCTCGCGCGTATCCTCGGCATCCTCGCCACCCTCTCCAACCCCCTCTTCCAGCCCGGCCCCTATCTCGGGGCCCAGTGCCTCAGATCGGGCGCGGGGGGTGCCATCAGAACGGCGAGGGCGTCCTGGCTGCGGCTGGATTTTTAAAAAGAGTTGCCCCCGTGGTCATGGTCGTTGTTCCGCCTCCCCCCCTCCTCCCCGCGCCGATCCCTTTCGCGCCTGCTCTCCTTCTCCTATTCTTCTTTCTCCTTCCACCTGCTCGTTCTCTCCGTCGTCCTAGTTCTGGCCCCCCAAATTCCTCGTGGAACCTTCATCTGCCCCCCCTCGCCCTCTCGCCCGTCGCGTCGCGGCGATCGACGGGGCGGCGGCGGCCTTCGACAGCGAGGCCGCGGCCGACGCAGAGGATGAGGGGGGGGAGAGATGGAGCGGAAGGTTGCTTCTCTCCCCCCGCCCCCCCTCGCGCCCACGCCTCTCTTTTGCTCGTCTCCCGGCGGGGCGGGGGCGGGGGGGGCGGGGCAGGAGGGGGGGGGGGGGCGAGGGGGGCGAGGAGACGGATAACGCGACGATGCTGGCATTTTTTGGCCAAGTAAGTGCAGGGACATCCGTGGGCATCGAAACTCAAACGTTGCTTGTCGTGCCCGCGCGTCCCTGCTGCGAGTTTCGCGCTTGCCTCGCCCGACGTCGGAGTTTGTCGCGCTGTTCGGGGGGGGGGGGGGGGCTCGTGCATGGTTTTCGCTAGGCGCGCGAAGGAGTGCCATGTGGGCGTTCGAGAGGGCCCCAGGTGCCTTTTCGGCTGCGCGAGCGCAAACTATTCCATAGCGGACCGCAGACGTTCTAAGACTATCTGGTGGAGTACTGACATGGTGGAACATCAGAGCGCAGTGGCTCTGCGCGGAAGAATGTGTATAATACGCACAATCGTTGGTGCACTTGCAGCGCTGCCTCTGCTCACGCGGAGGTTTCCTACTTGAGTCCGACCTCTCTGCACTACTACGGTCCTGATGTTCACCCACCTACTCCAATTGGTAATTTCTTTGAAGATGCGATGCATGGCAACATGCGACACGACATTGCGCCGCCCCCACCCCCGCGCAAGCTGACGGCAACGCCACCACGTAAACAACAGCCACAAACAACCGACTACGACCTGCGAGGCCATTGGATTGGTATTACCATATTTGGCCTTCTACGGGTCGCTATCGGATTTGCCGTTGGATGCATGCAGCGCGGTGGAGACGACGCGCGCACCGCCGGTCCCCAATGGGGCCCTGCCGGTAACGCACCGTTCCGCGAATGGCCCCGCGGAGATGGCCTGGGACGCAGGGTGGGCCCAACCTGCAATCTTAGGGGGGCACTCTTGATTAAGGGTGTTTATCAGCAGCTAAACGATCATGAGACACAACGCGGCGAGAAACTATAGAAATAACTCAATGGTAAGCACCGGCTCAAGCGGTGCAACCGCGGATGCCATGAGTCTACGCGTGAAGCGCGAGCGGCCTCTTCTGCGGGGCAACCCGCTCGCTCCTCTCACGAATGTGCTGACAAGTCCGAGGCTGATGCAGAGGATGGTGCTCCTTCTCTCGCACCAGCTGTTGATCCCACTGAACGCGCGCCTGGATCGGAATATTCAGATGTGTCCTACAGTAGCGAAACCACTGATCCCCTCTCGGACATCTGATCCAGTGACGGAGGACATGGACCTGGCACCAGGTGCGATAGCGGCGTATCGGCGCAGAGAGATTGGATGGATAACTTCCATGGTTCGATGCAAGCTGCTCGATTGATTATACAAACTTGATTGCAAAACCAACAGATTTTTCCCCAAAATGAAAGTAATCATAAACATAGCACACATGGCACTTTACAGACCTACGCAGAAGCCTTCGCCAGACAGATCTTCCTCCAAGGGCGAGGGGGAGCCTGCTGAGTCCGCCAGCGCGGGGAAACCCGCTAGGCAGCTGACGATCCCGCGGAGCCACCAAAGCGTTCTGAGAAGAAGAGATCTGTGGAGGAAATTGCTATCTCCATCTTCAAGCACTCGTAGGCCACCTGCTCCAAGGCCACCCAGGTCGACGAGAGAACCGCCTTAGTGGACCCGGGCCCTGGAGGCGAGAAGGCACAAAGATCAGCGGGGAGCCCGTGCCCGTAAATCAGACTCTTGGGGGCCAGCCGCGGTGGCCGCGGCGTCTGCGTTCCGGGGCAGCAGCGCACCTCAGCCCAAGGAGCCCGCTGCTTTGCGCGGCCCCGCGCCTGGCAGGGCCCACCGGGGAGCTGCCTGGGCGCCATCGTTGGACGGCGCATCCGGGGCCCGCGCCTCGAATCGCGACGCGGACGAGACGGCGCCCCAGACCGCGCCCGAGGCGCCGGGGGCAGCTCCGAAGATTAGTGAGTGCCGCAATTTTGATATCCGCCAAAGTTATGATGACCCATCTGAAAGTGCAAGTTCATCCGCAGCGCCCGCTGCTGCATCGGCATCCGCGGGGGCGCCCGCTGCGTCGGCCTCCGCGCCTGCAAGGGCGCCTGCTACTATCCTTGAATTACTTGATGGGAGCATGCCCCATTGGGAAACCTGGGGCACTCCCCAACAGATCATGGTCAAGCCAGCATGTGGGGCCACTGCTAGCGATTGTTCGAGCCGATCGATGCAAAGTAGCACAGTCCTCAACTGCCTGCGCTGCAACGTGCGCGACAAGAGAAAAAAACCACTGCTAGCGATTGTTCGAGCCGATCGACGCAAAGTAGCACAGTCCTCAACTGCATGCGCTGCAACGTGCGCGACAGGAGAAACAAATTGCGTTACCTCGCATGGCGCGTTCGACGGTCGGGCGTGCCTGAGTGGCTTGCTGGAAAATTGGCCACCAAATGATTATGAATATCCGCAAGGGTTTCGCCCCCTGCCGCCAGCCCCCTCTCTCGGAGAATGGGCCATGGAAGAGCGAAAAGTCATGAGGCTTTGGCTTCGCCGTGAGGCAGCGTCGGGGTCTGTTTGTTCTTCGGCCCTGACCCTACGGATCTGCGCGAGGGGTGCCGCCGCAATTGAGAAATGTGGCAAATCCCTGGTGCTTTTGGACCATGGCCCCGCCGATCTGCGTGAGGGGTGCCACCGGATTTCAGAAATGTGGCTAACCATTTGCGTTTTTGGACCCTGGCCCTGCCGATCTGCGCGGGGCGTGCCGCCGAATTTTAGAAATGTGGCAAATATTATGTGTTGTTGGACCCTGGCCCTGCCGATCTGCGTGAGGGGTGTCACCGGATGTCAGACATGTCGCAAATCCCATGCGTTTTTTTCCCTGGCCCCGCCGATCTGTGCGAGGGGTGCCACCGAATTGCAGAAATGTTGCAAATCCCATATGTTTTTGGACCCTGCCCCGCCGATCTGCGCGAGGTGCGCCACAGAATTTAAGAAATGTTGCAAAACCAATTTGTTTTTGGACCCTGGCCCCGCCGATCTGTGCGAGGTGTGCCGCCGAATTTCCGAAATGTGGGAAGTCCCATGTGTTTTTGGACCCCGGTCCCGCCGATCTGCGTGAGGGGCGCCAGGAAATTTTAAACATGTTGCAAATCCCATGTGTTTTTGGACCCTGACCCCGCCGATCTCTGTGAGGGGTGCACCGGATTTCCGAAATTTGGCTAACCACTTGTGTTTTTGGACCCCGGTCCCGCCGATCTGAATGAGGTGTGCCACCGGATTGCAAACATATGGCTAATCCTTTCTGTGTTTTTGGAACCAGACCTTGCCGATCTGCGCGAGGGGTGCCGCCGAATTTTAGAAATGTGGCAAATCCCTTGTGTTTTTTGATTCTGACCCCGCCGATCTGCGTGAGGGGTGTCAATTTTTCCCACCCCAGCAATTCAGACAATACGATTTGGGCGCGGTAAAAATGCCCGTTTTGGCCCCCCCCCTTCGCGCGGTCCATCAACGAGGAACAGTGGGCAGCAATAAGTCAACCAGGAACAGTAAACAGCAAGAAGCATAATTGCAACAATGGAAACTGGAAACTACAACTGGCGCCGGAAACTGCGAATTCCCGGCCTACAGCCTGGTGGCCCCGCAAAGGGGCCGGCGGATTATTCTGAAGGCTGCCGCTTCTGCCGCCGACCCCACGTGGGCCCCCCTACCCTGGGCCTAATATCATTATTGTCTCTGGGGAGGCACGCTCGCGTTCGAACGTGCGACGGGCCTTGTGAACGTTTGGCGGCGTTCGCTGTCCGCGGTGGTATTTGCCGCGGTGGTGTCCCGTATTCTTGGGCGTGTACCTTGTGGGGGCTGTTGAGACTGTCCTCGCGGCCCCATGCATGGCGCGCGTCCGCCGCGCTTGGGCGGAAGGGCGACGCGCATTTTTATGTTCATTTACTGCGTCGGGGCAGCGGCGGCCGCAAGTGGCCACTAATGACTTTGAGCTGGGCGTGCACCGCGGTGGACTTCCATTCCGTTCGTTTTTGCTTCGGCCGCCTTCGTTGCGGCCGTTTTTGATTTCGTTCGGGCGTCTGGCCCAGGGCGCCGCCAGGCAGCGCTGAGCATTGCGTGGTGGCGGATAAGCAGCATCGTCATCAATCTAGGCACCCGTATCAACATCATCGCTGTCACCATGACAACACCATCCATTCGCGGTGCCCGTGCGGATTGCATCTGCCGCGTGCTGCGACGGGAAAGAAGCGCGGGCCTGTTCATCCTTTCCCCCCCCCTCATCGTCGCCCCTCGCCATTGTCCTCCTCCCTCCTCCTTCCCCCCCTTCTCATCATCCCCATCCTCCTTGTCCTCCTCCTCCTCTTCCTCTTCGTCCTCCCCCTCCTCCTCCCCCTCCCCCTCCTCCTCCTCCTCCTCTCCTCCCCCTCTCCTTCTTCTTCGCCATCATCGTCCTCATCCCCCTCATCCTCCTCGTCATCATCTTCCCCGTCCTCCTCCCCGTCCTCGTCGGAATCATCATCATCAGCAACATCAGCAGCATCACCACCACCATCACCATTACGATCAGCAACGTCATCGTCAAGGCCATCATCAGCAGCATAACCATCATCATCCGCAGCCGCATCGTCGTCGCCATCGCCATCGTCGCCATCATTATCATCAGCAGCACCGTCACCATTACGCATTATCATCTTCCCGCAATCGTCCTCGTCAGCAACAGGAGCATCCACGTCGACATCCTGAAAATCGTCAGCAGCGACAATATCCTTGCCGTCGCCGTCGTTCTCATCGCTGGCCACCGTCACCACCGCAACCGCTGTCACCAGAAGCCTCATCTTCACCACTGGCTAGCATCCGACTGCCCGATCAGCATGTTCCTCCTCCAGTTCCCCCCCTGCACGCTGGTTGGGGGCTCTGCAGGCTGGCGCGAGGAACGGGTCTGGGCAGGTCTCCGCTTCGGCCTGCCACGCGCTCGCGGGCCCCTGCGTGGCAGGAGGGGGTCCATTCCCGCTCTGTTTGCTGGCTCGTCCCAGCGGCGCGCCCAGGGGGGAAGTGAGAGGGGGCGGGCTTTCTCAGAAGGCGGCGGGGCATAGAAAACTTCTCAGAAGGCCAGAAGATCTTCGAGAAGGCCTGGCCCCTCTGCGCCCCCCCCCGGGCGCGCCACCACTTGGCCGACGGAAGAAATCGGATTCGGCTGCGCTGGCATTCCCGCGCAAGCTGCCCGCGCAAGGGCGCGCGCAAGCACCCTCGGCCACAGCGCAGCGCGCTGCGCTTGCGGTCCACGGTAGCCACCGCATAAGGAAGCATCGTCTCCCTGTGTAAGATCCGCTTCTCTCTCGGCCTGACGAGCGAAGCGCCCCTTCTGACCCCCCCTTTCTGCGTGCCTTCTGCCGGGCTCTGTTCGAGGAGTGGCGCTGATGTTCCACCTGCATTGCCTTCTCCACGGAGAGTGGCGCGATGCCACCAGCAGTTCGGTTCCCCCTCGATCGCTCGTTCAAGCGCCGCGGCCGCTCGGCAGGCCATCGCCTTCTTTCTGGAGGCACTGCTGCCAGGCATCGCCGTGGAGCGAGGGCCCGGGTTGCCATGCGCTCCACCTCCGCAGTCTTTCGTGCCCAGGCCGCCTGCGCGACGCAGAAACACGGGGCCGTCTCCGCCGACGTTGGCGCGTTAGCCGCCCGCGCGAGGTCGCGCGTGAGCGCCGTCGTTTGCAGTGCGGCGCGCCGCGCCGGCGGCCCGCGCAAGCCATCGCGCGCGGTCCCTGTGCCGGCGAAAGGTTGCCGAGACAACGCTGCCACCGCAGGAGGGGGGCGAAAGAGGGGGGCAAGCAAGAGACCGCCGCGAAGTGGAAGGGCGAGGGCGACAGCATCGAAGAGGCGGAAGAACAGCAACGCCACCACGAAGGGAGAGGGAGGAGGAGGACAGGGGAGCATCGAAAGAGTAAGGGGGCGAGAGGGTGAGACGAGAGTCCAGGAGGAGAAGAAAGGAGAGGAGGACATGAAGGAGAAGGAGAGTGACGGACAGAAGGATCGCCGCGCGCTTGCAGGCTCAAGCCTTGAGCGGCTGCTGCAGGGCCCCTTCGGCTGCCCGGCCTTGGGGCGCATCGGTGCGAGGCGCCGAGCAATGGGCAGTCCATTCACGGCGCGTGCCGCCGAAAAGGTTGCCAGCGTGCCTTAGTGCTGCGAGGCTGCCAGCTTGCCGTGAAGCTGCGAGGCTGCCAGCTTGCCTGAAAGTTGCGAGGCTACCAGCTTGCCTTGAAGCTGCGAGGCTGCCAGCCTGCCTTAAAGCTGCGACACCTCCGGGCAAGTCCCGCGACGGGCCAGCAGCCCAGAAAAATATTCAAGAAAGAGTTGTGGTGCCAGGCGCGCGCGGGCATGTTGGTGGGTACGCGCTGTCTCGCCACGATGGAAGTTCGAAATCCCGGAGGAAGATGCGACTGCGAATTTGTTCCCAGACGCTCCCCCCTTGAACGACAGAAAGGAACGACTCTCGCGATTTGCTTCGCAGGCACGTTTTCGGACCGATGGAGGGGGGGAACGCTCGCGGTTTTTCTGTCGGGTTGGTCCTGCCAGCAAGTGCCCCGAGGGGCGCAAAACGATTGCACGAATGGCAGGATCGGTAGCGCCAGAGACGGAGGTTGTGCGAGGCTGCGAGGAGGGGCGCGCGAGTCGTCTGCGAGACGTGGGCAAGGTGGCGGGGAGTCGCCGGCGTCGGGCGCATGTCGGGTGGCGACTACAGCGATTGCAGTCTCGGAGGCGCACGTGGCGGGCTCGGAGGATACGCGTGGCGGGCCACGTAGCGGACGGCGCGAGGGGGGACGGAGGAGGAGGAGGGGGAGAAGGAAGGGCTTGTGGCCGCCAGAGCCCAGGAGCGCGGGCGGGCGTTGCTCGGACGCAAGACAGGTGCACGGCTGTGGTGAGGGCCCCTAGTGGGAGCAGTGTGACCGAAAAGCTGAAGGACGACGTCGTAGACGTTCTGTTCTTCGACGTGCTGCGCGCAATCCTGTTCGTCGCTCTCTGACTTGCTTCGAATCCGCGTGGGTTGTGGCGCATCTCGGCGGGGCTGTCGGGCCGCTAAGCGCGCCGCGCTGGGGGCGCCCGCGCAGTCCGCGCGCGTCGCTCGCCGGGGAATGGCGCGCACCGGAAGGTGCGCCACCAGGTGCGGGGCAGCGAGAAGTGGAGCGAGGGCGTCGCGATCCGCGCAAGGAGCGGTGGCGTGCCTTTCGTGGCAGTTGGTGATGGTATGGTATTGGTTGTTGTCGCTTGGACGGCCTGCGTGACTTTGGCACCGACGACCTCCGTGGCGACCCTGGCGGAAGACGAAGCAACCGTGGGTCCCTGGGAAAACAAGTGCGTTCAAGATGCCGTGGCGCGCATGCAGCGCGGTGGTTGGCGCCGAGAAGCTTTGCGTTTTTTGGCGAGAGAGTGCCCTGATCATGCGTGGCCTGGCGGGGGTGGCGTGGATCCTGCGCCAAGGCGCAACGTGGGCGCGGTCCAGCGGTGGCCGCGCCAGCACGAGGCTTTCGCGCGGGCGTGCGAGGCAGGAAACGTCGCGGATCATCTAGAGGAGGGAGCCCTTTGGAGGTGGCGGCTTGGCGATGCGGATGGCCGCTGCGTCGGGTCCGCCGTTTGGCTTGCCGAAGGGCGCGTAGTTCGCGTCGCGCGCGGGCGCGGCTCGCTGAGCGGGTTCGAGGGAGATCCGGCGCGGGCCCCGCGGCGACGCTACAAGGCAGGGGCCGCTCGCGGCGGCCAAGATGTGGCGCCGGCGGCATGGGGTAGCGCGAGCGCAAGTGCTGGGCTGCGTCGTGAGTAGCCCTCTCATCATGAGTGACGGGCCGTGCTCTTCCGAGAAGGCGCGGGTAATGTTGAGCCGTCGGTGTCGGAAGATGCCCGCCGGCGGGCAAGGCGGCGCTTGTGGCGCTCATGCGCTGCTCGGGACGACCTGCCCAGATGTCCTGCGGCAAGCCTATGCGAGAGGCTTCTTGCGACGGACGCTCGGCGAGACTGCAGAGGAAGTGCGCCGAAATTGTCGCAGCGCTCCAGCGCTGGATGATCCGATGAAATCGGCGTGGAAGCATGTGATCAAGCCGCAGGCGCAACAGCATGTTGGTCGCAATGATCGGATTTTGGGCGCGCCCGCGGAAGAAAGGAAATTGTGGGAGAAGAGAAAGAGGAAGAGCCGTGTTTTCAATGCCTGTGTGCGCGCCGTGGAGCAAGAGAGGGAAACGCTGTTTGTTTTCGAGCAAAAACGCCGCGAAGTTGCAAGTGCGCTGAGGCATTTATGCGAGAATGATATGACATATATTTTCTGCGCCCGCTATTGACTCACATGGGCATCCTGGACGACTACGAATGCGCGGGCGCTGGCGGGCATTGGAAGATCGACGTCGCCGGCGCAGACACAGAGCTCGGGCAGCATTACCGCCGCGACATCGCGGATTACTGCGGGATGAACAACGTCGACGATTTTTTGACGCACGTCAATAACACTGTGGCTGATTTGCAGGACGCGAACGTAGACAGAGCATTCGGCGCCGGAGTTGGTGACTTTGTAGAGTTAGCGGAGGGGGCCCGTTTGCGCGCGCCCGTCGTCGACGGCGGAGAGTTTGTTTTGATGCAAGAGCCGGTCGAGGACTTTTCACTTACGTGTGCCCCTGTTACTTGGAGGCCTTATGTTCAGATGGATTTTATTTGAGTGATCTAGAGCTGTTGTTGGTGCGCGAGCGCGCGCGCATGAACGCGGTGATAGCGCGGGGGGCTCGGGAGGGGCACGGGCTTCGCCG